GTTGGTGGGAGCCTCTCCTGTTTCCTCACCAGCGCTAAGGATGTCCGACTGCAGCATAGGTCTGCTTCCTGCTGGCAAGTGGACATCCCTCAAGGGCTGCCAGGCTGCCAGCGAGATGTCTGACTGCCAGCTTAGGCCCAATTCCCTGGGAAGCAGGCCTAAGCCAGCAGGTGGTCATCTCCCGAGGGGTCCCAGACTGAGAGAGGGCACAGGCCGGGCTGAGGGACCCTTCCCCTACCCCCCGAGTGCACAAATTTTTGTGCACCAGGCCTCTAGTTAATAAATAATAATACAAGAATATACTCGGACCTGGCCAATATGGCTCACTGGGCATGGTCCGATTCACTGAAAGGTCGCTGGTTCCATTCCAGGTCAGGGCACATGCCCATCTCCATCACCTGTAGGTGGCAGGGAAGAGGCAAGAGAACATCTTCTCTCCCTCTCCCTTTTCCTTTCCTCTCCCTAAAATAAACAAACAATAAAACTAATTATTCAAATATTTTTTTAAATATATTTTATTGATTTTTTACAGAGAGGAGGGGAGAGGGATAGAGAGTTAGAAACATCGATATGCTGCCTCCTGCACATCCCATACTGGGGATGTGGCCAGAACCAAGGTACATGCCCTTGACCGGAATCGAACCTGGGACCCTTCAGTCCGCAGGCCGACACTCTATCCACTGAGTCAAACCGGTCAGGGCTATTCAAATATTTTTTAAAAGAATCTCTGTTGCCATAGCTGGTTTGGCTCAATGGATAGAGCATCGGTCTGTGGACTGAAGGGTCCCAGGGTCGATTCCGTCCAAGGGCACATGCCTGGGTTGCGGGCTGGATCCCCGGTGGGGGGGTGTGCAGGAGGCAGCCAAACAATGATTCTCTCTCATCATTGATGTTTCTGTCTCTCTCTCCCTTTCCCTTCCTCTCTAAAATCAATAAAATATATTTTTTAAAAAAAGAATCTCTGTTTAGTATTCTTAGAACTGTTGAATCAATTTTTGCCTCACCTGGTACATTGGTACAGAAAAATCATATTTCATGTGTGACAGTTTCACTTATCCTTATGTCAAAGCTCACCAAGTACTACACATTAGAAAAGTGCACTTTGTTGCATGTCAATTCTCATTTCCTGGGCAGAAAGCCTTGCCTCAGTGGCAGGAAATACTGGCAAGCAGTGAAGACTATTGCCATCAGAATCAACAGGAATTCTCACTGGCTACCAAAGACACATTTTTAGACTGATTACAGGATTATCCTTTCCCTATCTTGTAGGTCTTGACTGATGAGCAGATTTTTGAGGTGAACAAACTAGAAAGGCCAGGGGGGGGAAAAAAACCTGTTAGATTATTTTTTTTCTGCCAATGACTTCAGCCACAGGAAACAGGTATGGAGGTCCTGAGAAATGTACACAAAGGTCACACAAGCCACAGACCTTTGATCATTTGTGGAAAATGTTCAGAAGAGGCACTTTTCATCTAAGTCACTGTAGTCTTTCCCATTCACTATGAATACAGTGTTTCTGTCCTAATGTTGGTTCCATCTAAACACCAGAATCCGACAACAAATGACACCAGCATATGAAATTTCATACATCACGGCACATGGCACCTTTACAGTATGTGGGGAGGATTTCCCCTAAACATTGCTGAGAATGCGGTAATACATACTGTGATGGAGAATATAATTCACATTGTTCACGGAAGGATAGCAAAGGCCTTCTCTTCATGAAAAACACTGACCTCACCAATAAAAGAGGCACCAGACTGCAAATCAGAACCAGAAAGTACTAGTCTTTCTTTTAAGACCTTGGGCAGCAATACAAAATAAGCCAACATTTGACAAAGAGAATGTTCTGTTATCATGCTGTGCCTTCCAAAGCACAGAGAGTTTAGGAGCCACCATATCTGTTTACCCTACATGCTGACAGATCACAAGTTTTTCCATTTATCTCAGGGTGTGAATAGAACCAACAAAACTAATGGTACAAAAGAAAAAACACCTTTACAAAAAGATCATAAACCAGAGCAAAGGACAGCAAGAGGTTTGCAAGTTAGTGAATTGGAACCTGACACAATTCATCACATGATGTGAGAAGCACAATGTCCCTGACAGAGGTAGCACTTCTTAGCTAAGGACAGGTGCCCTGGATGAAACCTGGGTCAGATCAATTCTCTAGTCATAGAGAAAGGAATGAAGATCCAGCTAGGAGCTCAGAGTATTCATAATTTTCTCAAGCACAACTTCTGAACAAAGAGGGGTTGTGAATGCTGCATAATCTTCAGGTGAGCCAGGTGGAAGAGGTGAAATAGCTTCTGCACAAATACTCGCAGTGACATCAATAGGCTTGTGGGCCAAAGTAGGTTAGCAAGTGCAGTGCAGCTCCTTAAAGACTCACTTGTACCTGACACTTATGAGGAATC